AGTGCCTTTGCCTTCTCTTTCTTTCCCGTTGCTGACGGAGGCCCTGATGAAATCTGCTTCACCTTTTGTGTCTCCTCCAGCAGCAGCAGCAGCAGCAGAAGCATCAGCAGCAGCAGCAGCAGCAGCAACAGCAGCAGCAGCAGCAGCAGCTTGTGGGGTCGTCGGGCGGCTACCACTGAGCTCACTTTCAGGTGTACAGGCAGCTCCTGCCGACTTGCTGCTGCAGCAGATGTCCTGCTGCAGTGAAAACGAAACAAAAAACAAAAACCAAGAAACAAAAGAAAAAGAAAAAGAAAAACAAAAAGAAGAAACAGAAACAGAAAAAGAAAATAAAGAAAAAGAAAAGAAAGAAAAAGAAAAAGAAGAAAAAGAAAAAGAAAAAGAAGATGTGGGGTTTATAACATTTGAGCCTCCCTCTGTCTGCGGTGATTTGTTTCTNAAGAAAAAGAAAAAGAAGATGTGGGGTTTATAACATTTGAGCCTCCCTCTGTCTGCGGTGATTTGTTTCTGCTGCTGCAGCCTGCTGCTGATTTGTCTCCTGCAGTAATAGATATGTTGCTGCTGCAGCAGGAGCAGCAAACCAGCAGCAGCAGCAGCAGCAGCAGCAGCAATCTGCTGCTGCTAGGGGCTGAGGCATTTGGGGCCCCCAGCTGCCCCTGGAAGGGACTCCTCGCTTCAGGTGCTGCTGCTGCTGCTGCTCCTGCTGCTGCTGCTGCTGCTGCTCCTGCAGCAGCAGCAGCAGCACCAGCGGCAGCAGCAGCACCAGCAGCAGCAGCAGCAGCAGCAGCAGGAGCAGCAGCAGCAGCAACGCCACATTCAGTATCCAGCAGCGACGAACCCAATGAAGACTCAGACGCCCCAAAAGGAAACCACAGCAGCAGCAGCAGCAGCAGCAGGAGCAGGAGCAGCAGTGGCGTTGCATCTAGGGTTTGTGTGTCGGATGTATCTGGCGGTGAGGGTGTTGAGGGTTTAGAGCAGCAATGGAAGCAGCAGCAAGGACGAGGGTTTAAGGGTTTAGGGTTTGTGGTTTGCTTGGGGGGCAGCTGCAGCAGATACTGCAGCAGCTGCTGCTCTTTTCTTTGTACCCACGAGCAGCAAGCCCTTCATTTATATAAACAAATACTAACCGCTGCAAACCCTCAAGGTCAGTAAACCCTAAACCCTAAACCCTAAACCCTAAAACACTAGTATAGGATATATACAATTGATCGAGGGTTTAGGGTTTTCTAGGGTTTCAGGGTTTTCTAGGGTTTAGAGTTTGCAGAAGAGAAAAAATTTTTCGGTAAGATATAAAAAAACTAGGGTTTAGGGTTTTCTAGGGTTTAGGGTTTAGGGTTTTCTAGGGTTTAGGGTTTGCGTGTAGGGTGTATAAGCACCTGCTTGCCCCCATCAGAGTTTATAGTCCCCTGGGGTTTAGGGGGGCAGCTCATCGGCCCGAAAGGAGAAAACAGAAAAAGATTGATGCAGAGGACGGGCGCTTTCTCTGCTGTTATTAACGCTAAACTCAAGGCAAGAGGGTTTAGGGTTTTCTAGGGTTTAGGGTTTTCGAGGGTTTAGGGTTTTCGAGGGTTTAGGGTTTTCGAGGGTTTAGGGTTTTGGCGGGGGTTCAGAACTCGATAGATAGATAAAACAATAGGCGGTGGTTTAGGGTTTGCATTGACGTAGATTCTATCGTTCATTCACCGCTCAGTATTTAGGGTTTAGGGTTTAGGGTTTTCTAGGGTTTAGGGTTTAGGGTTTAGGGTTTAGGGTTTGTGGTTTCAGGGCCCCGACGGGCGGCTGTGGAGGAGGGTACTGGTGGGGGGCCCCCTTGCTGCTCGCATGCAAATGGCAGCAGAAATATATCGTTTGCTGCAGCAGCAGGAGAGTGCAGCAGCAGCAGCAGCAGCAGCAGCANGCAGCAGCAGCAGCAGCAGCAGCAGCACCGAAGCTAACAAAAGCTCAAGCAAAAGCTATTGCTACTGTAAACCCTAAACCCTAAACCCTAAACCCTAAACCCTAATGCCAGTATAAACTTGACTCTAACACTAACACTGTTTAAACACTAGGGTTTAGGGTCTAGGGTTTAGGGTTTAGGGTTTAGGGTTTAGGGTTTGTGTTGCATCTGATAGAACCCGGCGGTCCCCCTGGCGCAGTGCCTCCACCTGCAGGCGATCACGCAAACCCCCCGCCCCTGCATCATCACGGGTAAACCCTAAACCCTAAACCCTAAACCCTAAACCCTAATTTTTTTTTCAAGCGGGAGATAGAGGTTTCGGGTCTTTAGCAGTAGTTTTAGGGTTTAGGGTTTAGGGTTTAGGGTTTAGGGTTTTCGTCAGGACCTAGGGTTTGTGTTTTTGAGTCGAGGGTTTCGGTGTTTTGCTTCTAACAACGCAGAAATCAGGGTTTAGGGTTTAGGGTTTAGGGTTTAGGGTTTAGGGTTTAGGGTTTGCGTGCAGAGAACTTCTGGCTTCGCGCTGTTTCTGATGCTGCAGCAATGTGGCTGCAGCTGTCTCTAAACCTCAGCATTCAGTTCCCGTCTGGTTTTTCTTTGCTGCTGCAGCTGCAGCAGCAGCAGCAGCAGCAGCAGCAGCAGCGGCAGCAGCAGCAGCAGCAGCAGCAGCAGCAGGGTTTAATTAGGGTTTGTGATAGTAAAAAAGGAGATAAACAAGAAGGGGGTTTGTATTCTTCTTGCTGCAGCATATTTAGATTAAGGGGGTTAGAGTTTGTCTCCTTTTCTTTTGCTGCTGCTGCTGCTGCTGCTGCTGCTTCTG